TCCCTCTCCTCCCCAGAGAAGACAGGACTCTTGGGGCCTGGCTGGGGGCCCAGAGCCAGGCCACCCTCTCCTGTTAGCCTTCAGAGATCAATTTCTCTCTATTGGTGACCAAGTTGCAAATGGATAAAACACAGGAAAATTCTTCCCTCTCTCCCTAGCCCTGCATGTCCTGTCCCCAGAACCCCCCACCCCCACCCTGGGCCAGGTCGGGCCCCATGGGACGGGAGAAATAGCAACCAATCCAACAGCGGGCGTGCTTTGTGCTCACTTCCTTCTGTCCCCACATGGGACGGGCGCCGTGGGGAGGGGGAGACACGTGTGGAGAGGTGGGCCGGGTAGCTGGGCAGGTGACTGATTATAGGCGTGGATAAGGAGTTTTAATCCAGGGCTTGGGCAGGCACAGAATTACTGGGGCATCCTCAGGCAGAGATCTAACAATATTGCAGGAACCGAATTTGGGTACACGTATGGGAAGAAATAAAAATACACAGATTTCCTCAGCTTTTATTGAGGAGAATTAAAAGATAAATATCTAAAGGTGGTAAATGTTTTAAAATAATGGGAATATATTCCCCCCAAGGAGGGACAAAGGTGGTAGGAGAAGCAAGAAAGCCTCTTCATTCTAAATCCAGGCCTGAGGATCATGTTTGGACATCAGAGGTCACCACTTCCTACTTAAAAAGCAAAGAGATGGGGCAGTTGAGAACATCAAGGAAACCAGACCCTCACCAACCAGCCATCAGGCCTGGGTCGAGTGAAGACAGTCCTGCCCTAGAACTTAGAGGCATCAGGACACAGACTCAAGGCCCCTGGATTTAACATGTGGAGAGCTCTAGGACAGCCCCTTCCCCCAGCTCTAGAATGCAGCCTTCCCTCCCCACCCAGGGTTCGAGTGCTCTGGACCTGGATGGATGAGCCCCTCTGGGCTCCAGGTCCCAGCTCCACTGTCACTGGGCTGAACCATCCATGGCCTGCACCCAGCGAATGGTTCGGGTCCGGCTGTCTTCCCATGAGAACAAGGGCTCGTAACCAAAATGGCGCTGAGCCTTGTTGGTACTGACGGTGAAGGTGGTGTTGGCCACAGCCAGCGTATAGGGGTTGAGCAGGGGCGCATAGAGCAGCAGTGGCCGCAGCAGCCACTGCAGCAGGGCATTGAGGGCAGCCAGAAGCATCAACAGCCAGTAGGGCAACAGTGGGCGGGTACCCACCAGCCGCAGTCCACAGGGGCCCAGGAACTCCATGTTGAAGTCTTCGTAGCTCTTATAGGGTGATTTGTCATAGCAGAAGTACACCTGGCCACCCATTAGTGCTGCTCGCTGCTCTAGCTCCCGGGCTACCAGCACATGCATCCAGGCCACGTTACCTGCCAGTGGAGGAATGCGGGGTGGACATGCCCCTAAGGATCCTTTTGACCACATAGATACTTGTCTCCCAGGCCAGCCCATGTACAAGCCACCTCCTCTTTGGGCCCATGTAGATGCCGCCCACATAACTACAGCCCTGGTAGAGGTGGTTTTACCCTGGCCCCTGTAGCCACTTGCTATCTTGGGCCAACCTGTATGGATGCTGGTCCTTCTTTTGGTCCCATGTAGATGCTGCCCCTCTCCTCTCCTGGGCAGATGCTACTCCCATAACTATAATCCTCTCCTCAGCCTATGACATGTTTTTTGTGTACCTTCCTAACTTGCATGGATACCGTTTCCTCTGGCCTGTGCAGACAATGCCCACATATCGTAGTCTGCCTTGGCCAGTGTATAGACTGTCCTTTTCTGCTCCTGCCCCTCCACCCTGAATCACATGGGCCTTTCCCTTTCTTAGCTTTTCCCTTGCCTCACCTGGGCCTTACCTACATAGACCCGGCCATGCTCCACAGAGGCTGGGATGGCCCGGAAGAGCCGGCCTCCCAGGCGCAGGCCCTGGTAGTAGATATCCCTCATGATCTGGTGGCCTTCGCCATAGATGCCGGTGGGACGCAGAGCACATGTCACCAGAGGCAGACCCCCACGGACCTGGGGACAAAAGGTAGGCACTGCCAAGACCTAGGAACCAGTGGTCCGCACTCTGCCCTAGCCTCCTCAAGCTGGAGATGTAAGGGAGCACCCAGGGCAAGATGCAAAGCCTGGCTGCCTGTGGCTCTGCATCTCTTCTCCAGTCTTACTTTCCTTCCATTGGCTTTCAGGACCAGCTGCTCAGCCAGGGCCTTGCTGTGAGGATAGGGGTGTCTGTGCACTGCTTCATATGGGGTGTCCTCATTGCCCCTAGAGTGGGAGAGGGAAGATTCTTAATGCTAAAGGGAGATGGGGCTCTAAAGTACTGGGGGGAACCTCAGCTCACCTGTAAAAGGGATGGCCTTTGACGTTGGGCCCCACAACTTCCATGCTGCTCGTGTAGACCAGGAACTGTGTTCCAGTCTGCACACAAGCCTCAATCACGTTCTTTGTGCCTGGGGAGGCAGGGTATGTATCCAAACTGAAGCTTTCTCCCTCTGCATTTTTTCCCTCCCCATTCCAAATCTGGATGAGGGCACATGGCTTCCTTCCCCAGGTCCATGGAGAACCACAGCAGGTCGACGAGGGCTGGCCTGCCATTTCAGGGGCAGGAGTGCACACAGGACAGATTGTCACAGAAGAATCACAGAGGTCAAGGTCAAAGGGGGAGCACAGTCAAGATCAGGCCATGTGCCGGGAAGTGTTAAGTACATCATTAGAACAGGCCAGGGGAGTACCTCACCCTGCACGTTGACCTCATGGATGGTCTCAGGACTGGCCCTCCCAAACACGTCCACCAACCCGGCTGCATGGATGACCACGTGAGCTCCAGCCACTGCTGCTATCACCTCATGGGCCTGGGTCACATCCCCCTGGATGGCAGTCACCTGCACGGGCCCTGGTAGGGGGTAGGGGCAGCCAGAGGCAATGTCAGAGCTGGGGCTACCAGCCAGCTGTTGGGTTCAGCCTACACCCTTGGGAGCCACGTTCCCAGTGTGACTCATTCACCCCATCCATGTGCACTGGAGGACATAAACAAGCATCATCTTTTCCACCACAGTGAAGGGAGTTCGTACCCTCCCCCTCGCACTCCCTCCCTATCATGATCACCTGTCTTCAGCTCCTCTAGCCAGGGACCCAGTTGCAGGTCAAAGATCCGTAGCTCACGGAGCCGGGGTTCTCGCTGCAACAGCATTCGCACCACATGCTCCCCCAGGAAGCCACAACCACCTGTGACCAGGTACACCAGCTTCTGGGCTTGTGCAGAATCTGCCATGTCCTGCTGGGGAGAGACCCTGGCTCACCTGGGTTGCCTGCTACCACCTGCCCCAGCAGCCCACCTGTTACTCCTTGAAGAGGCCTCTGGCCTAGTGGACTAGAACAGTAACCCAGGGGCCAGACCTGTTCCTGGTGGCTACAGTTGTGGGTATAACAGTCAGGCTACCTGCCCTCTGACTCTGCCAAATGCAGTTACTGAGATAAGAAAGGTGAGGGCTTGGCACGCCCCAGGAAAGGCTCAGGGTTTGAGGTGGAGGGGGAGGTTCTGGGACAAGAATCAGGGAGTTGGGGAGGGAAGGGAGAATAAGGTGGGTTGGGCTGGGAGAAGGGACCCCTGACATCCCCTTTGCCTACCTGCAGCCACTGTCCCAGAGTGCTCAAGCCGGCCGCTGAAAGGCTGTCTTGTTTCCTGGGCCAGTCGGCCAGCGACTCATCGTAGTCCCCCTTCCGCTTGCTCCTCCCCTCATGCCCATTCCAGGAACAAACCAGCCTCCACCCCTCCATTCCCGACTCTTGCTATAGGGCGCCCCCTGGTGGTTACTGTGCTCCACTGGCGTCTGGTTCCAGCAAAGAATTTGGGGGGCAGGGGCATGGGGAAGCCAGAACCTGCTCGGTGGGCACTGAGCGTTTGCAGGCCTCAGGATGGAACAGGCAGGGTAACCTCACTCTTACTGCATGACGTCAGTCCTCCCCTCTTGCTGGATTTCCCAGGAGGCCAGAAGCCCAGCAGCAGCTGTGGTTCTGGGAAGGGAAGCCTGACCTTGGTCAGCTCTGGCCGGCCTCAGTGGGGGATTTCTGTTCCAGCCTATCAGGTGGCCCAGAACAATGGTGGTTGAGTCTGCAGGTCTGGGCTCTTGCCTGAAAGCTTTACCCACCCCAAACTCCAGGTCACACATTTCCCCGTCTCTTTACTTGCCCCACCCTCTATCCTTAAACCCATCCCACCCCAAAGATACTGACCAAACACTTTTGTACAATAAAGTTTAATCACAATTATAAAAATGTGGCATTGGGTTTGTGCTATTAACATATGTACAATCCAGCCCAACAGGAAAGGCCTGCCCCGCCCCCTCCATCCTGGCCTGGCCCAGTTGGAGCTTCCAGACACCACGGTAGGAGGGTGACCCACAGGGTCTGGCAGGGACAGATGGTGAGGCAGGGTTCCAGGCACGGAGTCCCCAGGACTGGGGGGGGTGCATGGCCCCCCCCCAGGGGGAGAACATGGCCACTGCCTCTAGAGACCCCTAAACTGGGGAGGGGTGCACGCAGGGCACAAAGGGGAAGTCCCCATTAACACAAAGCAAGGGGGCTGTGCAGCCCCCAAGAACAGGATCTGTACAGGCTGGCACCCCAGGTTTCCACAGGAAACAGCTGCTGGCAGCTACAAAACATTTACAGCATCTTCTCCGCAAAGAAAAAAATTAAGGGGTGGGTCGACAGCGGTGACAGGGGAGGCAGAATTTGCCTCAGGGTACTGAGGCTCCCTTGCAGGGCTTGGGGGCCCCCCAAGTCCATATTTGGAGATGGGGGCATGTGGGCCCTCCTGAGCCCACTAAGGCTGTGGGGGGCTGGGAGCTCAGGGCACCAAGGGGAATAAATAGGGGTGTGGGCGCCAGTCCCGCCCACCTCAGTTGAGGGAGCCACGACAGCTCTCCGTGCCGCACAGACACGGGATCTTGTTGTCTTCTAGCGGGAACTTGTAGTCGTAGGTGATCTCCTCATCCACGCCGATGGGCTGCTTGGAGTAAATCACAATCTTCTTCTGGGACTCGATGGTGATCACCTTGGCGTAGCAGTTGGGCTGCAGAAGGGGAGGGCAGAGTGAGCTGTGGCTGCCCCCTTGAAACCTACCCGCCCTGGCCCGGCCCCTGGCGCACCGTGCAGCAGTGGTTGATGAACCGCGCCAGGTTGCCACACTTGGTAGCATCGATGATAGTGTCGTGGTCCACACGGAAAAGGTAACTGCTGCCAATGCCCTCCTGCACGTAGCGCTTCTCCCGCATGTCAGCCACCATCTGGTAGGGCGGGGAGTGATGGTCAGGGAGCTGCCCGTCAGCTTCCTGCTAGACGAGGCTCGACCCCCTCAGACCCTGTGATGAAGGGTCTGAAGAGTCTCCCAGCGACCACCTAGGGGCCATATTAATCTGTCCTGGACCTGCAGGTCTCCCTCTGGCTCACACTAACCCAAGGCATGGACACCCCTTTGGTTCCAGGAGCCCTCCTTCTTGTGGCCACCCCCTCCCCTAAACCCTAGGCTGCCATTCTAAGTCACTCAGAGGACCTGGGGGAAGTCTGCACTGGTCACTGGGCAGTAGCAGCTACTGGCTGCTCCTGGAGTGTCTGCCTGGCCCATAGTAGAGCCTTCAGTCTGCTGTGGGGTGGGGGAGTTCCTGAGATGACAGTGGCTATTTCATGGACTGAACCCTACTCATCTCTTCTCCCAGGACCCTCTCTCCAAAACAGGCACCTAACAGCTGCCACTGGTTGTCTACATTAGGGCCCACATTCCTATATGAGAAGGAATAACTTATTTCCCATAAAACAGGACACTAAGCCCTCTGAGCTCTCCCCTTGGGTGATCACACTTTCTTTCAGGGCTTCAACTGCCAGCTAAGTACTGGGGAATTCCTCAAACTTCCATCTCCAGGCAAAATCCAACTCAGTGGAGCTGCTGGGTATCATCCTCTAGATGTGCCCTAGGCACTGCAACTTCGCATGCCCTGACTGGAACTTATCTTGATCACACATCAGCTCCTCCTCCTCACTCCCCACTCCACTGGCAGTCCCACCTACTCTTAGCTGCTAAAGGCAGCACCCTGAGAAATGGCCTCATCTCCAGCCTGTGCCCTCACTCTCCTGAGCCCACTTGTTGCCTGGTCCTGCCAGCTGCCTTGGACTCACAGACTCCTGTTACCTTGGCTGCCACTGTCTAGTCCAAGTACCCTGCCATTAGCTGGGATCTCTGCAACAGACCCCTGGTCTCAGCCTCTAGTTCTCTCTTCACACTGCAGCCAGAGGGAGCTTATAACTTCCAAAGTCCTCTCCTGCTCAATGCCTCACAGCGACTTTTCCTTCTCTCTCACCATCAGTCTCAACTTATTAACGGGGCTCCTAAGCTCTGGGGAGTCTGGCCTCCACCTGCCCCTTTAGGTGTATGTCAGTGCCACTGACCTGAGTTTTTCCAACTAGCCAGTCCCCTCCTTGTCCTCCTGAGACTACCCTGCCTCCAGGCCTTGGCATATGCTGTATCCCACAACTCGGAGCACCTCCCCTCGGAGCACCTGAGCCTGGAAGTTCCTCATCATCCTTCAGCTCCTGCTGTAAACATCACTGTGCTTGAACCATCCCTGCCTCCCTGAACTTCCTCTATTGAATGCCATCCTTTATTGTAGTTACTTGTTCAATTCCTGTCTTCCCCACTAAACTGTGAGATCCTTAAAGGGAGAGAGATTATTAGCCTTGTTTCTTGCCAGGTCATTAACATCTAGTTTACTACTTTACTAGGACCGCCGCTTGCGTTTTGGAGTGCTCAGGTTCGTGAGTGCATTACTCCTTGTGCAAGGAAGGAAGAGAAGAGTAGGACAGAAAGAAAAGGAAGGAAGGGGAAAAAAGAGACAGGTTTCACTGGCTAAGTCTTGGAGCCAGAAGGATATGTGGGGGCTTTATCCCGAGAGTCAGATCTCATGTCGGCATTCCATGCTGCCATCAGAGTGGGGGCTAAGTACAAGGCCTCACCTGGCGAATGTTCTGACCCACATATTCGATGACCATCTCGTCAGCTGCGATGGGTTCCATGGCAAAAAGACCCCACTCGTGTATCCGGCTCCGGCCGAATCGGAGCTTCTTCTTCCGGAACTAGAGGGCAGAAGGTAGATTGCTGCTAGATGCCTCCTTCAACCTACCTCCTCGCTTTTCCTGCAGACCTCTGGGAAGGAGGGTGTTTTGGCCTCTCACCCCCATTCCTGCCCCAGGGGACTCCATGATACCACCTTCCTACTCAGCTTCTCTCCATCCCAAGTCCCCACTCCTCACCTTGAGCTGGTTTAGCTTTAGCAGATCACTGTCCATGATGGCTGAGGTGCCAATGGCACTCAGCAGCCGTCGCTGCTCAGACCGGCGTTCCGAAAGCACACGGTTAGTCCCCTGTGAGAAGCAGGACAGAGAGGAAGTAAGTGACAGGAAAAATGATGGGAAGAGGATACCAGTGGGACATATGTCAGGGAAGAGCCTCACCTGAGTGTCCACCCCTTCCAACTGCCGGGCTGAGACGGGGCACACATCCAGGTACCTGTCTTTTTCCTTCTTACTGATGGGGTAATAGCCTTCGCTGCGAGCGGAGCCCGTCTGGTGCTCACGGGGCCCATCCTGGGGCCGCCGCTTGCGTTTTGGAGTGCTCAGGTTGGTGAGTGCAGGATGTGTTAAGGAAGAGAATGGGTTCCTCACTGGGCAGATCCCTGTGGCCCTACCCCGCTCTGTCCTTCTTGTCCCAGCCCAAGGAAAGGGTAACTGACTTCAAGGAGGTCCCAATCCTACTTGGTGTGAGGACAGAAAAATGGACAGGAATAAGTCTCACATCACCTTTTCTGCCAGAAAAACTGTGAGGCAGAGAAGCAGCAGGAGTCACAGATAAAAGGGCAGCGTGGCAGCCTGAGAAATACCCAGGCTGAACATGGCAAAAAGAACTGGACTGGGAGAGAAAGAAGTGCAGACACCAGGAGTGATCTGAGGAGGACACTGCCGAGCTGTGTGACCTCAAGAAGTCCACCCCCACTCCCTGGGCCTGGGGCCTGTCTTTCTATCCTGAGGCCACCCTCTGGGGTTCAGGATATTGGTGTGATGGACCCAGTGGGTGTCGTTTAGCCAGTCGGCCCCACTCGTCTGCTGCAGCAGCCGCTCATACGTGAGTCGTAGGTAGCCCATGTCCTCCAAATCCAGGCCCGAGTTCCAAATGTCATACAGGATGGTCATCTGCTCAAACTCACTGCGGGGCTCAAAGGTAGGGGGTGGTGGGGGTGGTGGGGGTGGCCGCCGACGCCGGGTGTGGGAGCGGAGGCTGCGCCGCCGGACGGCCCCCTCCCCATCACTGCTGCTGCTGCTGCTGCTGCTCTCAGATGACTCAGATTCCTCCTCTTCCTCCTCCTCCTCACCTTCTTCTCGCTGCTGCTGCTGCTTCTGCTTTGGCTCCTCTGCCTCAGCCACCACCACCTCAGGGGCCTCCAGGACCTCATCCACTGGGGAGCTGAAGAGGGCTGCAGGGGCAGGAACTGGTTCCGGGGGTCGAGGGGCCAGCGTGGAGGGTGGGGGCTTAATGGCCAGGGCATAGTTGTGCTCCAACAGGATATGACTGAGCAGGGGGCCCGGGCGGTCTGCCTCATCCGACGTCTCTGTGGCCTCGGAGTCATCGCCAGTAGGCAGTGCACCCAGCCCACGCCGGGCTGGTGTCAGGGCCAGGTCGGCCAGCACTGTCAGGTCCACTTCTGTCCCTGGCTCAGCCTCTTCTTCTTCAGTGGAGCGTCCTCGGCCAACAGCCCGGGTCCGACCTCCTCGGGCCGCCTCCTCGGGCCAGCTCTTGACCAGAGATGCATGGTCCAGGGGCAAATTGCGAATGGTCCGCTCTACGCCCCGGGGGACTTTGCGCGAGATGGGGCCAGGAGATTTGACCTGTGGTGGGATAGCTGGGGAAGGCTCTGGGGCTGGCACCTCCTCCATGGCAGAGAAGGAGACGGTTTTCCGGCGTTTCTTGGGTGGGGGCAGGAGGAGGATAGGAGAGGAGGGGCGCTCGTAGGGGCGGAGGGCAGGGGCTGGAGGCCCAGCTGGTGGCTCTGCGGGAGGCTGGGGCACACTGGGAACTGGCTCTTCAGTGGAACCTGGAGAAGGAAGCACACAAGGAAAGGGAGGTCAGCTTCTCGGCTCAGTATCATCAGACTGAGATGTGGTATGGGCAGGAGACTGGCCAGCCTCACCAGGGAATCTACACCCCAGCTGCCTTTCAACAAGTTCTACACTCATGCTGTCCTCAGTTTCCGACAGACACTCCTCTTCGCTCAGGGAGCACAGTTCCTGCCTCTCACACCTGCAATGTCCTCAGCACTATGGGCTCCTTTGACAGGATGGAGTTTTGTACCTGCTCATTCATACATTCCACATTTAGAGAGCACCAGTTATGCATCAGGTACAGAAAAAGCACACTGAGCAGACACTTCTGAAACCCTCACAGAGCTTACGGTCCAACAGAGACAGTTATACAAAACAAATGTACAGCTCGAACCGTGGAGAGTGGGAGCTCTAAAGAAATAAACATTTGGACTCTAGCCTTTTTACCAAGACTGGTGGTGACAGAACTAGTCAACGACTAGGCACATAGACCAAGACAATTTTTGCCAGCAGCATTTAGGATGTGATGAGCTAAATCTGAATTACAGTATCCATTATTTCAACCACAATCAACATTATCTTTTTAGTGTGGTAAAAAAGATACAATGTTAAGAAGCTGAATTTTGTATTAAAATATTTTATAAAATTTGCCTTCTTCTCCCCTGCCCCCCGCCTCACCCCAAACTGTACTGAAAGTGAAGCTGAGATCTAAAGATGAGGAGTGGGTTGGGGAGGGGATATACTATCTTTGAGAAGGCCATACTCTCTTTCCCCAGCTAACCGCCCCCAGGACAAGGAGTGCATCCTCTCTCTGTTGGGACCTTCCAAGTCTGCTGCTAGGTGGGGGGCTCTGAACACTGGTCATGATACAAATTAGTCCTTTCCCTGAGGAAGACCCAGTCCTGCAGACCTGACCAATCAGACAATCCCTGTGAAGCCAGTCCACACCTCACCCTCTCACCCTAGGTTCTGGCCACCCAAATAGGCATGGCTTTTCAGGCCCCTGGGCCTTTACTTACATGGTTCCCTTTGTTTGAAGTGCCTCTCTCTCCTTACCCATTGGGAAAGCTAACATACAGCTTTTAGACCCAGCTTAATGCCACTTTCTTTGTGAAGGCTTCCCTGACTTCTTCAGAAATTGGTAATTGCTAGTCTTCAGGTTGGCTGCAGCATATTAATGGCTAATATTTTATGCTAAGCACTAATTCAAGTCTTTTACATGTATTAACTACTTATTTAATTCTTACAACGACCATAGGAGGAAAATACTATTATTAACCCGATGTGACAGATAAGGAAACTGAGGCAGACAGAGGTAAATAACCTGCCCAAGGTCATACAGCTAGCAAATGACAGAACAAGACCTGCACTCTGGGAAGCCTGAGTTGAATCAGTGCTCTTACCTACTGCCCTATACTGCTCTGGACATCCTGCAGTGGAACTCTGTGGTTGCACATCTGGCTCTACCACTCAGAGTTAGAGGGCAGCCAGAACTAGGCCTGGTCCAAGAAGGCAGTGATCAACATGTGTCCACTGCCTTAACAGATGTTCCCCAAACCAGCACCCTGGGCAAGGCCCTCAGCCTGTGTTTCCTCAGGATCTGGATACCATGTGAGATCTACTCTGAAGCTAGCAAGGTCCCAGGGTGTTTGTCCCAGGCTCTCCAGTTTCTGTTGAGTCCTCTCACCAACTCTCCTCAGCATCTTGGGGCAGCCTCCCCATCTGACCCATCCTCCCAACCCAGCTCACTGTGCCCTCTGGAAGCCTGGCTCTTAACAAATTCCCCTCTTGGCTCAGCTTCTTCACACAAATTTCCTTGTCCTAAAGGAAACCTGGCCATCCCTTTCATTTAGGGAGACAATCTGGGGGGTACCCTCCCAAGACACACAAGTAGCAGAAGCAACTGTTTCTACAACATGACCTGCCTCGCTCTCTGCCCCCCTCATTAACTGATGGCTACTTGACACAAGTCAGCCCAATAAGAAACTTCCTTGAGAATAAAGATCTAGGACAGTATATCTGTCTGTGGGGGGCAAGCACTCTCTGCTAGAATGGAAAAGCAGAGGAAGCCCATTTGCAGGAGAAAAGAATGAACCAGATCAGAAGACAGAAGAAAACCAAGTCCTAAAGGCATCCAGGTCCCTATCTTTGCCCACCAGACAAGCCCTTTCTCCCAGGCTCCTGCCATTAAGCCACACAGCCCTCTGCCAGTTACAACTTTGGTAACTTGGATTTTCCCATCATTCTCTAAAACCAAGGACCTGCCTTTATGGTTCTCTCCTCTCCCACCTCTGCCATCTATCTTGGGGACTTTGATATCCCACCTGTTTACCCAATTTCACATATCCAGTGACCTTCATTTTCAGTTACCCTCCATCGGTCACACACTTGACCCTGTCACCCTCTAGAATAGCTCCACTTTGGACCCTTACACTCTGATCCCCTACACCCTGACCACAATTCCCCAGGTCCTTTCAGTTCACTCCACTGCACCTTTTCAATTTCCCATCCTTCTACCTCTCTCCAGCCCATCGCCCTCTTCCTAAATTAACTTCTTTCTTTCTTATGCCTAAACTGCAGGGATCCTTACTTTGTTCTCCTTTCATAGCACGTTCCACACCTTTCTACCACCTCCACCCTGTAGATCCCCAACCTTGAATCTACCCAACCACCTATCTTCTCTCCTCCTTTACCCTAGCCCCCAGCAGGGCTTCTGAGTTGCCAAGAAACTTAGTCAGCTTTCATCCTCACTCCCCACTCTTCTCACTTTCCAAGGCTTCTCCTTCACCTAGCCCCCCTCAGGCTCAGAATATGTCCCATTTTCCTGCCGCAGAGTGAAAAAGGACACCTTCAAGCATGAAAGCCCACATCTCCCCACCTCCCCATTTACAGACAGATTTGCATCAGACCTAGAGTCCATCTCCCACATCTCCCCAGGTATGCGAATCCAGCAAGTATCTCTCTCCTAGTTCATCTACCTGCTCCCTCTTCCTTCACTGTACAATCATGCTCAAGTCTCACCTACTTTGAAAAGCTAACCCTCCATCAACCCTGCATTCTTTTCTTGCTGTTTCTCCAATCCCAGCTGAGTGACCTTGATTATCTCACTAAACATCAAAGTCCTCATCTGTGAAATGGTAGTAAGGATGTTGTGAAGACTGAATGAGAAAATTAAACTGCAATGTACTAGGCCTAGAGCCTGGCACAAAGGCTCTCAATAAATGTTAAACTGTTAACTATAACCTCTAAACTCCTTCTTTCTCTTTCATAACAAGAATAGTCTTCCCTTCCAGAAAACTGGTTACCTCTGTTGCCTGTCCTCAATCCTTAACATCCCTCAACTTGGCTTCAGTCTGATCCATTCTACTGAAATTGATAAGGTTACCAGTGACCTCCTAACAGACAAATCCAACACTTTTCCTATCTTACAACTACTCTTACAGCTGCTGATACAAACCACTCCCTCCTTTTGAGACTCCGAGCTCCCTTCCCGTATTTCTGATCACCTCTTTTCAGCCTCTTCTGGCTCCCCTTTGCCCATCTATCTCATAAAACTGTAAGGCTCTGGCCCCCTTCTCTCATTCTGTACATCCTTCTAAGGTATGTAAGTACATTCACATCCGTACTTTCAGTACTCTCAAATATCTATCTCATTTCCAGTCTATCATTCTTTAAGAGCTTCGGATCTATCGATCCAACTGCCTTCTGAATGTTTCTACCTGGAGGTTCCAGAGGCATGTCAGATTCAAGCTCAACTAAACACATCAGCTTTCTTCCTACTTCTGGTTCTCCCTGACTTTCCTTTCCTGGTAAGCAGTTTAACTAAATAGCTCTATCTCCTAAATTTCTCTTGAATCCTCACTCCCACTTCTAATCCCTTGCACCTCAATGAAACGCCCATGCTTTAGTTTATGACCTTCGCTTACATGCATCCCTTCAAACGTTCTCATGGGTCACTCTACTGCTTTGCTAACTTGCCAAATCCCTCGCCCTCCTGCCAGAATGATCTTTCTAAAATACAAATTTGATACGTCCCACACTTTCTTCCTACCCTAATGAGAATGAAAGAGCACTAGATTGCTGCTCTCTGACCTGTGACTCCATCAGCTCTTCTGCTACTAATGGGTTCAGGAGAGGCTCCTCAGAATTAATGAGAGCCTCAACTCCTCCGCTCAAGGAGTCCGAACTAGAATGGAGTGCACTAGTGAGAGATTTCTTCATGTGGTCACTACCTATCTCAGACCACAGATTCTCAATAATGTTCAAGAGTTCTCTGGAAGGCCATGTGCATCTTTTAAGTGTATCTTGAAAACTGAGTTATTAATTCCACCATAAGAACACCCTACTTCAACTTACCACCACTGCTTGCTTTATTTACTCATGGCAACAGCCTTAATCTTCCTCTATCAACTCTGGTCCTTTTTGAAGTTTTTTCTGCACTACCTCTTTTCAGAACACAAATATAATCATGTCTTTCCACTACCTTTAAGATAAAGAGTAGAGTCCTACCATGGCCTACTCACTTTGCGTGGCTCAGCCCTTGCTTGCCTCTCCAGTTTCAGCCACTCCAGCTTCCCATCCTTTCAATCCTCCAGGTTAGCTTTCTTTTATGTCTTCCAACATGCTATTTCCTCTGCCTTAGGGCCTCTGCACATGCTAATCACACCCTCCTGCCTGCTTTACCTGGATTTCAGGGCCAATGATGCTTCAGCAGAAAACATTTCCCCACAGATGTGCTCAGGTTCTCAGAGCACCTTGTACTTTTCTTTCACAGTGCTTATCGGTTGGTAATCACAGATTCTGAAGTATTTATTACTCAACTGTCTCTCTCTATAGACTGTAAGCTTCATGAGGGCAAGAACAGTGCCTATTGTCCATAGACCATGTATCCTTTGCACCTACTATAAGTACTCAATAAATGTCAACTGCTTGACCAAACAGTTCAC